GGGGGGGGGGGGGGGGGAAGAAAAGAATGAGGAAGTTGAGCATTATTGATAGGAAGTAGTTGTGGGTAGATCAGATATTAAATAAGGTACAGTAGGCTAAGCTGGACTACAGATGTTCTCTCTGACAGAGGTATATAATATTCTTGTGTTTTTAGCCAAATAAGTATAATGGACCAGTGTAAGCAAAGTAAGTTTCTAAGATGAGGTGTCTAATTTGATAATTACTGAAGCAGTGGATCTGAACAGTTGTGAGGTCTATAAACCGTAGGGGTTATATTTTGACTCATAGATAGAGGATGTAGGAATGAGGGGAAACTTGCCTTTCTGCCCCAGAAATTCAATGAAAGATGAACTCACAATTAAGGCAGATAATAAGAGAAATGTTTATTTCCAAATACCATGCCCATGGGGAAATCATAAGAGTGATTACTCAACGTCTCAATAATGGTCTCATAACCTTTATAGATGGCTGTTAGAAGAGAGGGGGAAAATGTGTAGTATCGTTACAGAGGATAAATAGATGGTGGGAAACAGATTGACTTCTAAATTCACCTGAGAGACAGGTCCTGTATTTTAAATGGTTTGGGCTAGGTATGCTAGCATGGGGGGGCGGGGGGAGGCAGTTGTCCATCTTTGATCTTTTGATCAGGTCAGTCAGGTTTTATGTAGATAGAGGGAAAGCCCCTTCCAGTGCTTTCTGATCTCCTGTGGCCTTTAATTCAAAGTATTCTTTATATCAAGTAGTCAAATTTAGAGGTGAAATTTCCTTAGCTTCTTCAAGGGCATTACTGGCATCTAGTGGGCAGATGCCAGAGATGCTGCTAAGTATCTTATAGTGCCCAGGATAGCCTCAGACTATAGTTATTGAGCCCCAAAGGTCCATAGTGCTCAGGTTGAGATATTCTCCTTTTGGGTATTTATTTATTTCTCAACCTGCTAACAAAAGTCCTAAGTACTTTTCAATATCTCATTTAACAGGCTTGGTGCCCGTAGCACAATGGTTACAGAATCAGCCACATACACTGAGGCTGGCCCGGGCCAGCTAAACAATGACAACTGCAACAAAAAATAGCCAGGCGTTGGTGGGCGCCTGTAGTCCCAGCTACTTGGGAGGCTGTGAGGCAGGAAAATCCCTTAAGCCCAAGAGTTTGAGGTTGCTGTGAGCTATGATGCTACAGCACTCTACCAAGGGTGATATAGTGAGACTCTGTCTCAAAAAGAAAATCTCATTTAACAAATAAACCTTAAGAGTAATGGTTATAATAATTCCATAATTTCATTAATATTTTGTGAGAACTTAAATGAATGGAAGTATATTTGCATGTACTTGGAATAATTTAGAAAAAAAGCAATCAAGGATGCCTGCCAGTTTTATGGCTTGAGCAACTTACTAGGGGGATATTGGTGACATTGTCAGAGATGAGAGAAATTGGAATGTGGAAAAAAGTCTTTAGTTCAGATTTTATACTTGTAGAATATGAGGTACCAGAGAGATATCAAGAGGAAGTCCTGAAGATCAGAACATATATCCTGTGTGGTGCCTGTGGCTCAAAGGAGTAGGGCGCTGGCCCCATGTGCGAGAGGTGTCGGGTTCAAACCCAGCCCCGCCCCCCCAAAAGAACATATCCTTAGTTTGCAGTTTGTCAATAAATAAATATAATTTGACTCTAGGGTTGGATGAAATCACCTAGTAGAGTATATATTTTAAGAAGGAAAGACTATCTTATGTCATAACCCTTTGGAACACTAATAGTTATGATACAAATAGAGGGAAATCTAACAAAAAAAGAATGAAGATGTAGCCAGAAAGATAATAGGAAGAGATTCAGAAGTCTTCCAAGCCAAGGGAAGAGAATCTTTCTGGATGGATAGAGTGATTATTGATAGGGAGGCTTTTGGTAATCTTGGTAGACATAAGAGTGAGTAGAAACCAAATTGCAGTGGGTTGAGAAATCCATGATGAGTAAGAAATTTAGGTTGTGTTGTGTATTTATTTAAGTTTGGCTGTAAAAAAAGAAGACGTAGGTGAAGAGGGATATGGGATCATGGACGATTTTAAAGATCAGGGTGAATTCCCCATGATATTTTAAAAGACATTAATAAATAACATATTTGGATTTTTAGAGATATTGAAGCATATCAAATACTTTTGGTTAACAAATGTTCATTATATGAATATATTTCTAAATGATATTCTTTCGCCTTTAGGGTATTGCCAGATAATATTTTAAATACTTGCTTAATAGGCATATTTTTGACACTAAAACATTTTTTTCCAGATCTTTCCAGAAATCGTTTTACAGAAATTCCTTCTGATGTGTGGTTATTTGCACCCCTCGAAACATTAAATTTATATCATAATTGCATCAAGACCATTCCTGAAGCCATTAAAAACCTGCAGATGTTAACATATCTTAACATCAG